CTCACTCCAACATCTGGCCCACTCACCTCAACCTCTGGCCCTCTCACCTCAACCTCTGGCCCACTCACTTTAAACATCTGGTGGGACTATGGCGGCCGCAAGCGTCCAGATAATTAATGGGAAAAAGATCTGGCCCAGTCACATTTTCATCTGCCCTGCCTCCCCTCTACATCAACAACATCATCTTCTGGTCCACTCCTACAGCATCTGACCCTCCAACTACCATACCTGTGGCACACTCAAATCTACAACATCTGACCCTTCCACCACAAGATCCTTCTGTCCCCCATTTACATCTGGTTCACACCATAACATCTGGCACACTTTCCCCGAGAGGTTTTATACATCGTGATAATTTCATGTGTAATAAAGGTTTGTTTTATTATTATTATTATTATTATTATTATTATTATTATTATTTTATTGTACAATACTTTTTGTCTAACTGCATTTGTTACAAATATATGATACTGGATAAGAAAAAGCTTCCTTTGCATGGCTTTAACTGGAAGACACCAAGTAAATGTACATGATTTATAAAATGTAAATAAGATTAAAAAAAACAAAAGAAAGAAAAAACCTGATTGTAAACACTGTGTGTGAAGTTATTTTATCTTTCCACTGAATTAATTAAACATCATTAACAAACATTGAAGATAAGATACATTATATTATCTCAATAGTACAATGTTTTGTATGAGACAAATGTGGCAGCCACAGTCCTGTTTCAGCCTTTTATAATAATTATATTTTCTATGGTCAGACCACCAGGAGGCAGCAGTGGCTCTGTGGTTGATAACTACACAGCTACTTGTACCATTCAGTCAGACTGGTGGAGAAAGTAAATGCTGTGCAGACTGAGGATTAATGTCAACTCCCAGTGTGAGGTGAAGCAGCCATCTTTCTATGGAAAAAAAATCTGGATTTATTTTTGCAGCTGCAAATTTACAGGACCTGCTCTTTATTGGCAATGCTACTTTTACAGTACATAGCAAGTTCTTATGATAGGACGTCTATTTTAGAATGAAATTATGTTGTTCAGTAACATTGAGTATCAATTCAATATAAAATATGCATTCAGTCATTGTAATATTGTATTTAAGCAAGTAGTCCAAAGCAACAGTTCACTTAGTGTTGATATGTATGAGTTTAATCACATACCATATTCTCTGAGGATTAATGTCAACTCCCAGTGTGTGGTGAAGCAGAACAGCCACCTTTCTATGGAAAAAACATAATCTGGATTTATTTTTGCAGCTGCAGATCTCACAGGACCTGTTCTTTATAAGCAATGCAAAGTACAGAGCGAATTCATGAAGACATCAGTCTATTTTAGAATGAAATTATGTCTGTGGTTCAGTGAAATTAACCCTCTTAAAATGGACCTCCCACGGTGGCCATTTCTTTTGCATTATCCTGTTTAAAGCAATCTAAAATAAACAACTAGAATAGCTAAAGCATTCATTCTATTTGTGGAGGAAATACAATTTTAATAAAAAACCAGGTCCAATTTTTGGATTTGTTATATTTATAACTCAATTTCAATATTTTTCTCAATTACTATGGCTCATTATATGGCTTATATAACCTTTTAGCTTAGGTTGTACAGATTTTAGGGACATGAATAATTTCAAGATATTCAAAGAGACGACATAATGAGCAAAAATACCAATGTAGGCACTTATTGAGTTCAAAGGGTTAAGTATCAATTCAATCTAAAATATGCATTTAATAATTGTAATACTGGATGTTCACCAACACTTAAAAGCAGATTTTCCATATTACTATGCCGCTACTGGTCAGTGAAGGCTAGCACATAGTCTATAGCCATTCTAGCAGCTCTGTGAGGCTGTACTTTGACATAGTGTTGATTTTAGCTAAATGCTAACGTCAGGATGCTAGCAGGCTGTTAGTCTCTTAGTCAACTCACTTTTAATTAGTTGGATAGTTGCAGAAAAACAAACGGTAACCTCCGTTCACGAGCTGCGCCTTGTCAACAGGACAAAAGTATTGACAAACTAACGACATCTTTCACAGCTTACACCTGGATGCTGAATGACGTTCAGTCCCAAGATGCTGTGGCTTAGTAAAGGTGTGTGTATACACCTGTGTGTGCCTGTGTATGTGAATTAATGGTGTGCTCTGTATGTGTGTGTTTCAGGTTTTGGGTGAGGCCCGTCTGTACCGGGAAATGAATATGGTGGTGAAATTTAACAACCCACTCAACGAGACCCTGAGAAACTGCTCCCTGACTATTAGCGGATCAGGTCTTTTCAAAGATGACTGTGTAAAAGGGTTAGTTTCAGTTTACCAGGTTGAAATCTACAATCCATGAGCAATCTAGTTATTCTTTATGGAAGGCTTTATTTAGGCAAGGTAATAAATGCCAGTTAAGCTACTTGTTCCACATCTGAATTTGTCTTTGTCCATTTTAGTCTCTGAAATGGTTGCTTCCTTTTAAAAGTGATTGGCTGAATTAAAAAACTAATAATGTTAGCAAGTGCGATGTAAACAGTCAAAGTGACATAGCTGATTTAGCTGCTAAGACTAACTGGCGTAGAACTTTCCTATGAACAATAAACAAAAAATAA